GCAACATCATTGTCTTGGGTTTGAGGTTGTTGAGTGTTAGGTGCCTCGACTTGTATCCCTTCGACTCGGACTGGGACAGTACCAGCGTCACCTTGGTGCCCTTCGCCAGTAGCACCTTGATTTTCTTCGCCAGCATTGCCTTGGTCCCTTTCTTCATGATTCTCTTCTGACAGATCCACCACCTGAAACGCTTCTGGCTGTTGTTCCTCCGTTTGAGGTTCCTCTGCTGGTTTTTCTACCGTCTCAGCGTTGGCCTCATTTTCAGTATGGGCTTCGTCATTTCCCAAGCCTTTTTCTTGTGGCCTGCTGAGTTCAGCAGATTCCAGCGTTTCAGAGGTCCTTAGCGGAGAACTTTCAGTGGTGTCCTGAAAAAGGAAAGAAGACGAATCTTCAGAGATCGAAAGAGACACAGTCGAATATGGGTATCTATACCTAAGTTATAAAAGGGTCTAAGGGATTACCTGTAAATTAGCTTCAGCCCCAGGGCTGGAATTGTCGCTTTCGACAGGCTTGTTGAGAAGAACGTTTAGTTCCTCCTCCGTCGGTTCCTCAATGATCACTGGAGGTGGCCTGAGTTTCCTTCCAGCAACCTTTATTCTAATGGTTCGACCCTCAGGAGCAGGAGCAGGAACGTCCTTCGTCAGCTTGCGCCTTTTTAGAGGAGCAGGGGGAGAATCACCTTCTTCGTCGCTCCCAGATTCGACTACCAGTGCTGGCCGTTTCTTTGGCGAAGGTGCCTAAAAGACCAATGGGAATTCGACTTAGCAATTGTATCGAAAGTCAAAAATCGAAAGCCAGAAGAAAATAATGAAAGTCTGGTTACCGATACAGAAGGTTTCTTCGAAGAGCCTTCCCCCTGTTGGTTGTTTGTGGTCTTCGCCGGCGCTGTAGTCTTCGCCGGCGCTGTAGTCTTCGCCGGCGGTGGAGGTTTTGTTGAAGGGCCTCCTCCCTGTTGGCCTTCTGTAGCCTTCTTGGCTACAGGCTTTCGAACAACTGAAAGCAAATAAAAAAGTTAACAGGCTAGCAGTCGAAAAAAAAAAAACAAAATAATGTAAAAGGATGAACTTACATTTCTTTATTTTGTCCAACACAAGGACAAAAGATTTCTGAAGCTCATCCATGAAGTCCTTCTCGTCGAAGAACTCCTCAGCATAATAGCTTTTCCACCACTCCTCGAAGGATGGTGAGCAAAGAAAATTGAGCTGGTAGTCAAACAACGAGAGAACTGTTCGACCAGCATATCTTCCGATATGCTTGATGGCAGCTTCTTCGGTGTAATCATTGCAGAAGTACAACATTGACTTCTCTCTTGGAAAAATCGGAGAAGGTAGGGTTTGGATAATACCAAACTGGCGAGATACCAGGTTTGGTTGGTATGCAATCAGACTCAAGTGAGTCTTAGAGCTCCTGAATCGAAGAGGCATGATCCTTGGTGTGAGGAACGCCTCCCACAGTATTGTATGTTCGTCAACATTAGGACCACTCGACGTCCTTGGATGTGGCCTTGTGAACCATGCTGGGCCTACCTGCCGTCGAGCAAATGGAGCCATAGTTGAAACAAACTCTTTCCTTCGAGCAAACATCAGAACGAAGTTGGTGAAGGTTTGCTGAAACTCCAATCCATCTTCCGTAGGCGTCAACAGAGCCAGTCTGGTTCCTTCGACGCGTCTGTTCGCTATCTCTGGAGCCTGCTCGTTTATCTGAACCTTCTTAGGCAAGAAAGATTCAAAGGTGGCATTGAGCCACAGTTGAAGGAGCCAAAAAGGCCCAGCGAGTAGCAAACTGGCCCTGTTCTCGATAATTTTTAGAAGAGTTGCCCCATTGCTGATCGAATCATAGAGGCTAGCCAGAATCAGTTCTGCCAAACAGATGTTTTGGCGATGATGCAGTTGAGTAGCGAGAGTGACCATCTTTTTGGTCACCTGTAAGGACTTCGAGCAAAATACGAAGCGAGTCAGCCATAAGGCTAGAAATGCTATGTGTTCGACATCCGACACAACATCTGTCGACCTGTCGTGATAGTGGTTGATGAAAGTGGTGTATGTTGGTTTGGTGTCAGAGAATCCAATTTGGTCCTCCGACATCTCCTCCGGATCGAAGTAGTCCCCGGTGGGTCGAAGGCCGGTGATAGCGGCCACATCGAAGAGTGTAGGAGTCAACATCCCACAGGGAAGGTGGAAAGTAAAGTGGGAGTAGTCCCAGAACAGTAGAGAAGCTATCAACATCTCCGGAGAATAGTTCAAACCTGTCTTCGACAGCATCACCAGGTCGAAAATCCCCATATCCTTCCAGATCGAAGCTTGGTGCTTCTCCATCTTTTCCAACCAAGCAACGTAATCAGGAGTGAGGCTAGGGCCAGACCTGAAGGCCCTAACACCTCTGTTGAAGAAGCAGAGGTCGATTTTTCATGTGCAGGGTCTTCATTGTCTTCTGCGTCTTTCTTGGCGCATGCAACCGGTTTGAGTTTCTCAACTACCGGGAAATAGCTCTTGATCTTCATAGCCTCAGAGATACTTGAATACATGGGGCCAGACATAGCAAAGATCTGGTTGGAGTATCCAACCGGGATCATAAGGTGGCGTGAGTAGGCATCGCGAACGGCGATGTCCACGGGTTCAGGAACCCTTCGTTTGCCTGTAGAAGTTACTACTGGAGCAGTGACGAAAACCTTAGGTTTGGCGTTTTCAGATGGTACAGTAGCGCTATGAGCATTAGAACCAGATGCCATTGTTAAATGTTGAGGTTGAAATGAGGTTGAAGACGAAGTGAAGGAGGAAAAGTTTCTGCAAAGATAGCAAGTTTGTATGAAGATAGAGGAGTCTGAAAGCTAGATGGCGTAAAAAGTCCCACAATGGGGTACTTACTGCTATTTATAGTAGTGGGGGAAAATCCCCAAAAACGAGGACATTAAATGCCATTTAATGCTGCAGGAGATAGTGGGACGCGTGGCAGCCCCCTGTTGTTTTAGCCGTTCTGCAGAAATAGAGGGACGCAGCGTGCGTCCTCGTTTTTGGGAATTGTCATAATGACAAATTCTGAAATGACGTTTGGTACTGCACGCCGTACTGACATGACGTCTTAGGTACGGATAAATGATGGTTTTCTTGGGATTGCCAATGGTTGGTAGAAAACAACAAAAAGTGCACAAGTTAATTGGTGACCAAGCGTGAAAAGACAGGTGTCGAATGGCGTTTCAAAGAATGCCTTTTTCTTTCAGAGTCGAAATAAGGCATTCTTGGGAGGCAATTTGTTGGCTCCTAAATTCGACACCCTTGTTTTATTAATGTCAGCCATTAAAGCTGAAGGATGTTTTCGACTGGCTAAGTCTGTCGAAATATCCGTCGAAAGATGGCAAAGTACTTAGAAGATTTCTTCCCAGGGAGAAGTTGGTTGCCTTCGACGTCGAAGGAGTTTCTCGTCGAAGATGTCTCTCGACGAGAGTGTTCGATGGTTCAGAGTGGAGCAGTTTGAAATTCAAGCGTTTGGAGGGAAAACGGTTTCCAGCAGTTACCACGTGCAGCGTGCAAAGATCTGGAGCGTCGAACGTTGAGAACGTGCCAAGTGGAATCATCTCGAAGCAGTGTAACTGCCCGACGGTTACTTGGGATGTTTTAGTATAAATAGTAGTAGACATGTAGTTTCTCGCGTGTGTTCACAATTCTATACAAAGTCACTCATATAGATTCGAGTACCCAGCGTGTGAGAAAGAATTGTTGAGAAATGTATGTGTGAAACACCAACTTTATTAATCAAAGTCATTTACTTTTCCAGAAATTTACTTGCTTTCCTCTTTACATTTCTGTCGAAGTCTTTTACTTTAAGCCTTGTTTATTTTACCAAGTTCTTTCTTCATGCAATTTACTTGAAGCCTCTTTAATTTGTTTAAAGCCTCTTTATTTAAAGCCTTATCCAACTTAATCAAACTTCAAAATCAACCTATGTCCTAGGATCAATCTGATCGATCCTGCGAGTAACCAAATAAGTAACCATTTGGAGGATCAGCGGTTGTTTACCAAAACCCAAGGTAAACAATACCAAGCAAGATACTCTGTCATCTTGTATATACTTTTGCTCTTTAATGCTTGACATATGATACTGAAGGAGCAAAATTCAGAAACTTGGATGCCTTATTTTTTAAACTCTAAAGATAGGTTTGTTCCTTGGGTCCCAAGTATTTCCATATTTGAACTCTTTCTTGTGATTGAGCTGCATGCACTGTGCTTAGCGTTTGTGCTAGTTTAGTCAAAAGACTAGATGCTTGTACAAATGGATATATGAATTGATGAGATTGGTTTTTAATTCTGTGGTGGTGTGCTTGCTTTCACCAATGATCTTTTTATCATTTGGGTGTTAATTCATTAACTCATTTCCTCAGTCTCCCTAGAAGTGCTATCAAAGTTTAGCCATTTTGTAATGATTGTTGTTCGTCATTTAGAAATCCAATTTGTAAATGATTACTCCATGATTGTGGCTACAGATGATCTCAATTTTCAGAAGCATGTCATTAGTTTATCTGATGGGTTTTGATGTGTATGAACTTCTATAGTCTGTGCTATTTCTACATGGAGTTTTTCTCATACTTATATATCTGCAACCTAATGATTTATGTCGTGTTAGGCATTCTCATTCCATTGTCGATATATATTATCAGTAGTGAAGCATTTATCTTCAAGCTTTAATTAAAAATTAGCAATGTGTTAAAACTTCAAGTATACTCAGGTATCAAATTGTAATGATGATAGAACTGTAAAAAGAACTTGTAATAAGCTATTAATTTACATTAGAAGAAAATGCTTAACCTGAACACAAACAAGCCCACAATTTTCAAATCCATGATACACAAACAGTATTCTGTATACAATACAACCTAACAATTATTCTTCTCATTTAAAGTAGCCATGTCCTGATTGTTGGAATTCAAAACCAGCAATGCTATTAAAACTATTTTAACATACAAAAATTTTATACATATATTTTACAAAATATTTAATGGCATCGTCTCAATTGAAAGAATGGCGTGGTGAGAATAGGCGAAGAGGTAACAACTTTTCCATGAAGCCTGGTGTTGCAAGACCATTCATTGGTTGATATTGAAGCATGCTAAAACCTTTGTGTTCTGTTTGTTTCCCATTTCTATTGTGTCCATTGAAGGTTCCACATTTCACCATCCACCATTTCTTCTTAGTTGAGACTTTATGGCTCGAATTCATTTTGTGGCTCATGTACTCCTTCACCACATGTAAACCCTGTTCCACCACCTCTGGTGGAGGCGAAATGAGCGGGTTTCCCTCCACACATAGCTTTTGAAGCTTTTGGAGGCACCCAATGGAGTCAGGCAATGTTTTGATACTGTTGTAGCTAATGTCCAATTCAACCAGAGACAAGAGGAGCCCTATGGAGTATGGCAGGGATTCCAAGTATTGAAAGTTCTGACTCACATTTAGGGTTTCAAGATTGATGAGGTTCTCGAGGTTGTTGGGGAGACTCCTGAGGCAGTTCAAACGGACGTCAAGAACCTTGAGAGCCATAAGGTGAGAGGTGGAGCTAGGAAGAAAAACCAATTTGTTGGAGTTGACTGCAAGCTTCTTGAGTTTTATGAGCTCAAAGCCTATTGTGTCTGGTAGCTTGCTCAACATGTTGAAGTTGACATTCAATTCTTCCAAAGCTCTGATTGGTCAAAATTCACACATACATGTACGTTAGAAAAAATAACCATGTCCATATTACTCCATCAATGTGAACATTGGTATACACATATACGACCTCATACTTACCGTATTTATTTTTTAAATATTTTTTTTTAACTGTTAGTTATCTAATTGTTAAATCAATTGAAAGTGTTGAATAAAATATTATGATAAAATATCAATTTGCATCAATTACGTTATCGTTTGATTTGTGTGACTTCATATGATGATGTGAAAGTAAATATGATTAGATATTGTAACATAATATGATTTATTAAAATATTGGGCACCCGTATATTTCTTGTCTATTTTTCAGCTGTTTACATCTCAATCATAAATATAATGTTTGTTGACAATACTATGAGTAGATAACTTCATACTATGGTTGCATTCTTAAGCTCCTGACGTTTTAGTAGTAGTATCTATAACTTATTTGAGAAATCTTTTATTAACAACTTATATTTATTTAGGTCAATTAACTCATAACAATTGTGATATTCCACCTACCCACTTTTACGTTTATTTATTACAATAAAAATACTTTTCTTAAAAAATCTCAATTATAAAAAAGTTAATTTTTAAAATAGCTATTAAACAAATATTTCTCAATTGAAACAATAATATCTTCCACCTACCCATTTTATATTTTTTATTAAATAACGAACTTTTAAGCCTAGTCTTTATTAAATTTTTAGTTTTCAAAAAAATTCAAAAGTTTTGATTTTATGAAAACTTAAATATAATTTATTTATTTTTTAAAAATCATGTAAAAAACAGACAAGAACATTTTAAAATAATTATTCTTCATAAAAAATAATTTTTTCAAAATAAATCCTAACAAAAGGAGTTGTAATTATTTTCTTCAAACTAATTAAGATCTAGCACTAAGCAATTAAAATTTCATTAAATAATCAAAGATTATGAAGTTAAATTAATATTTTAAAATTATCAAATTATTAAATCACTAAATTACTACTTAAATTAATGAGTTACTGGTCAATCTGTATGGCTTCAAATTATATGAAAATATAATTTAATTTTTCTTTAGTGATATTATATATTTTCAAAACTTTTAATAATTTTTAGTATTATTATAATTAATTTTTTTAACTTTTTAAATTTATTATATTATTATTATATGATTAATAATAAATAAGTTTAATAAAAATTGTTTTTGAGAAAAATTTCGTAATTATGAAATATATAACTCTCTTTTCTTTGACAAAATAAAATATTAAAGAGATTTATGATGCATTTAATAAAACTATAACTCTAATAATTTTAAAAGATTACAAGTCTAATTCTTAAAATTTTAAAAGAAGATTATTTTCATAATTTTAAAATCATTTAGTTATTATAAATAATTAACATAATTATAAATATTAATAAAATTAAATTTTAAAATATGAATACTAAAACTTAGAAAAATAAAAATAATAAGATCAAAATTATAATTAAGATAAAAAATAAACATAAAATAAAAATCAATCTGTTGTATTATGAAATCCATTAATTCACCGGTATGACCAATAAATGGATTTTAAAACCGGTATGACCAATAACCGGTGTGATTGGTCGGAACAGTTGGATTTTAAAACACAGTTAAACAAAAAATTTCTTGGAAGTGAGATATACAAGGCACAATAATAAACAGTAAGTACTTCTAATAAATGTCAACACCTTAAAATTTGCTAGTCAAATAATATATTGGAAAGAAAACAATAATACCTATATATACACAGATGTAATATGTAAAAGAAAGATAAATTAAAAAAATATACCTGCAATTCTCAATGGTTGCAGGAAGAGATTCAATGAAGTTGGCAGAGACATTCAAAACTTGGAGCTTGGAGAGACAACCAATGGAATTTGGGAGAGATTTGAGCTGGTTGGAGTGCACGTCTAACATTTCTAAGCTCAGTAATCTTGCAGTTAATGACTCCGGAATATTCTGTTTCAATTACATATTCACGTAAATTTATTAGGGTTAATATATCTAAATACTTTACTAAATTATTAATCAAAATTTATATTACGACGAAATAGAGTCTTGAAAAGAAAAATTAAAAGAGATGCGTGCAAGTTTAATTATAGAGACATACCTTTAGATTGTTATTAGATAGGTCAAGCTTAGAAATGATGGCTAAATCAAGCAAAGATTTAGGAAGTGAGTCCAAGGACATGCCACTCAAGTCCATAACTTGAAGCTTCTCTTCTTCTTTAGGCTTTTTCATTTCTCTTCTTTTCACTCTATTGTTCATCTTCACCGTAAGCTGATTCCGGTGACTGTGAAGTTGAAAGTGTTGCTGTTCGAACATGTAAATTTATATTCTATAATGGAAAACTTGATAACCCTTTGAAGGAGATAGATTTATAATGTGAAATTGTTAGAAGAGAGTATTGGAAATATATAGAGATAGAGGACGCAAATTGCAAGTGGGAAAGGTGAACAAAATTTAAACATATATTTAAATATTAGTGTGTACAAGATGTACGGATGAGTATCAAGGAGTATTACGTAATAAATAATAAATCAAAATAAATAAATGAAAAACATCAATTACTATTATAATTAAAAAAATAATAAGATCATGGTTTTATTTCTGTAATTATAATTGATAAACGTTAATATTATTTGGTGTCAGAATTGACCCGAACTAAATTAAATTGACAGTGAAAATAAAAATAAAAAAACTTAAATCTTAATAATTATTTAAACAAAAGCTAGTAATTTTCAAATTAATTAGTGCTTTAATTACTAATATACATTTAATTTAATTCAGTAATATTTAATATTAGTAGATGATTTATATTTAAAAATTATAATAAAATTTAGTTTGATTTTAAATAAATTTTAAAAAAAATATATATATATTTAATTAATTTTCTTAATTAATTATTTATTTATAATTGTGATCATAGAGAGTAATATTTTTGACACTAATAATCTTTTATAAATAATTTAAAAATTCATGTATATGGTTGTTGTATTTTATGAGTATATAATGTTATTGTTAAAATGATTGATTTTGTTATTAAAAAAAATTAACAACTCACTTTATTGGCAGTTTATAATCTTTTTCTATGTAAATAGTACTATTTAAAGATAAATTAATTATTTTGCCAAAAAATAAAATAAAACTCATAAAAAAGTTAAAGGTTAAAAAGTTATTGAGTTTGATTGATTAATAAATTTTATTAAAGTAAATTATTAAAAAGAAGTGGATTTAAAATTTTAAGGAAAACAGTTTGACTAAACTTTATCAATTAAATTTTAGATTGTCATCATTTTATCATCAAGGTTTATAAAAAGGAAGAAAAGAAAGTGAAGTACAATGAAAGTACAACCGTATGGTAAGGGTTTGTGTGCTAAGCCACGTTCCTCTCATTTTGATTTTATCGACCTACCCATGCTTTTATTTATTATTTCAAGTAAGTCAGAAAACTATTTTTCCGATTAAAATTTATAAATAAATAAAAAAGTCAATGACTGCGTTGCTTATTCATGATAAACACCACTTTTGCTTATTAAAAGAAAAAGATAAACATCACACTGGTTTATGTTGAAAAGAAAAAAACCTAAACTAATGAAATGGCGGTTGGGTTTTGTATAAAGAAAAGAAGAATAATATTGATTACTATCGTAATATAAAAGGCTGAATAAGTTATTCTTCATGGAGAAAAGTTAGATATAATTTTTTAATAAAAATATGATAAATATATTTAAATATCGTTTATAAAGTGAAAATTATTGAGATATTAGATCTAATTTAAGTTGTGTAATTTAAATTTAAATTTAATTAGAGTTTGTTTGTTTACTTAGTGTATAAGTTAGGTGTATATAAATAGTCATAGTTTGTATCATTATTTGTAACAATTCAATTCAATAATAGAATCTTCATTTCCTTATTTTCTCTTTCTCGTTTCACTAAAAATGTCTCACACGCTAATAAATTGGTATCCAGAGCTCCAGTTAGATTCTTGGTCGTGTTTTCAAGAATCACACGTCAGAGATCGTGTTTCTGGGATCGTGGATTATTGTCAATCAATCGTTGTGAAGATGAATGGTACTAACGGCATTCTGAATTCTCTTCCAACTCTTGACGAAAAGAATTAGATTAGATGAAGAAAACAAATGCAATCTCAATTTGGCTTCATGAAACCTTAGAATGGCATCTAGTCCCTATATTAAGAGATCCAGCCCCAACAACCATGGATGCCCTAACAATGGCATCCAGTGTTCTAGGTCCCAAAACTTCCATGCAAAGTATCCATCTTGTCCTAATGAAGATCCTGAGCAACAATCAAAGCATTAAAACATTCAACAACACGAAAAAAATAAAAATTGATTTTCAGAAATTTACCAAACAGTGATGATTGAAGATGGTGGTTCTTGCGTGTGTTAGGCTTGTGTGATGATTGGAATGGACTCCTAGAGCCTTCAGGGAGTTGATGGAAGGCTTGGTTTGGATGGATGATGGTTGAAACTTAGGTTTTGGATTTTCACGATTTTGATAATTTTTTTAAAATTTGGTAGAGCTCTTGTACAGTGTGTAGGCGTCCTTAAGGCTTGCAAACATGTTGCTTATATAGAGTAGAAGGAGGGGACAAGGTAGGAGGGAAATGAGCATGTTCAATAATATTCTTTAAGAGCCATAAACAAATATTTGTAACTTTGCCAAAGGTATGAAATTCTTGTCTCTTTTTTTTGAATTTGAATGAATATGGACATCAATGGATTTCGAATGCCTTCAGTCCCTGCCCTTCGATTGGACCTCTTGTACATCCTTCGAATGGGTCTTTTGGATGTCTTTCAAATAGTCCAAATGTATGCCATGTGCCCTCTTCGACTGGGCCACCAAGGTGTGTCCTTCGAATGGCTCAAGTCTCATCATTGGGGCCTATTCGATTGAGGCCCTACTCAGCTAGCTGCTTGATTCAAACAACTCAAACGAAAACTTCAATCTGGCCAATCGAAAACCTTCTTTGTCACCACCTTTAATTGCCATTGCACAAGAGGCCTGGGCCTGGCGACATGTGTCGTACCCCAAATTTTCCCTACCCCGATGATCTTGTCTTCAAAGATTAGAATAATAAAGAAGCGTTTAACCACAGATGGTACAATAATATCTGATGGCCCATTCTTAATATTTAAATCAATCATGGGTGTATTTTTAATTCAGGAAGACGGGGCTTTCTAAATCAGAAAGACTCGCGTGTCCGTGAATCCATTCGCGAGGCATGTTGGTCATTGGCCCATGTAATTCATAAATGGAAATTAATGGAGTAACTGTAAAGTTCTAGATTATTAAATAGTCGTTAATAAAAGGGGGGTTGAAGTTAAATTATGACCGTTCAAGTTTAAATTGTATAGGTTTATGTAGGTTAAGTTAATAGGGGTGTAGTTACAAATTACAAGCCCATTAAAATTTGGTTAAGACGAATACATTTGTTGTTTTCTCTTTTACTGTTAAGCTCTTATAATAACAGTTTCATTAAAAAAAATTAAATACTATTTTTTTATTAAAATGTTTAGAAAAAAAACAGACTAGAATTGGGCCAATTGGGCCTGGTTTTGCTGAAAACATTGCTGTAATGTTATTACTACAAAAAAATTGTTTGTTTTCATCCTACTAAAAGACACGTTTGTTAAACTTTTATATAACAATTTATATTAAAAAATAATAATATTTAACGGCTTGCTAAATTACCAACATAGCATTTTGTTACAGTAATGGTTAGCTGTAAAAAAGAATTTTACGCTTATTGTTATCAGATACAGCTAAGGCCCAATCTATTAACTGTCATTGTACAAATCAAGCCAAGATTATGTGCATTTTTATCAAACTAACTATTACTGTGTAAATCAGATCTTGAACCAAATCTTAAGTTGCAAAACTTGGATTAAATCACTAAAATCAAATCTGCAAGGATGATCAAACATTACGGAAGAACCAAAAACAACAGAACTTAAAGCCAATCTCCAGAATAACAACAAATCAGGACAAATTTATAGCATAATCAAATCTGCAAAAAATCCATTTATACAAATCCGAAAAATTATATCTAAAGTGACAGAAGAATCAAATCGAATCCCTAATCAATTTTCCTAATCCCTAATTTGTGCTAACTATAACAGCAAATTCTCAAAACCTTAATCGATACTAACCTAGTCCTATAAATTGAAACTAATTTACAGAAGACAGGGGGGGTTCGTTTACAGAAACAAGATCAAAGGATACGACAACCTTTATGAATAGAAGGAGAACAAGGAGGGCTGGGACGGAGAAAGAGAGAGATATTCGGAAACGAGGCTTATACCCAATTGCGAACGGTTGAAGAATTCGTCATCGAAGAAGAAGAGTGAAGGTGATTAGGGTTCAACTTCTGAAACCCCAATCACCATTGACTTGCACCACCATCCTCAGACCTTCAATCGTCGCTGGGAGCCTGCGAATAAGAAGAAGAAGGGTTAGCATCGGCATACAGAAACTCAAGGTCAGGAAAGACAGAATGACAAATGGGTAAAAGCACTTGGATTTTTATTTTGTTGTTGTTCTAATATTGGGATGCTGGGTTTTGGATTTACGGTGAGGGAAGATTGCTGGAGCCGCCGCGTTGGAAGGGACGAATCAGATTAGGGTTTGTAAAGGGGTTGAAAGAGGAAGAGAGAAAGGATCGTGCGAGGGAGAGAGAGTGACGATACTGTAAATGGAAAAGGAAATAATTAAATTTATATTTTGTTAGATCCAATACGATCGCGCCCATGGTAACGAGCATGCTCCCTCAGATCTCATCTGCATGATTCTGATTAGACGGTTATCTGGCCAAGTCTCACGCGATAACGCATGCACCTTCACGCACCCAATGTTAGAACATAGTTTGATTCTACAATCCTTTATTAGAGTTGTGATGATAACAAACACAAAGAATAAATATGCACTCTAAAATTGTGTTACTGTGTATGCAAAAGTTCTGACCAAAGCAGCATCAGAAGATAAGCTTTCTTGCTGAGGTAATCAGAATCTGCGCTGAAGAATGATGATCAGAACATACGCTGAAGTGAAGCATACTCTGATTCTGAACAGAAGGTTCAGATACAATCAGATTCTCACAACTCTAAGTCATCAATGTTCTGAAGCAATTGCAGCATACAAGATTGTAAGATTCTGAAGCGTTATTATTCAATAAAGACAACATGACTTGTAACGGCTTCATTCAGACAGGATCTTCTCAATATGGAAACTGCTTTAATGTCCATTATCACGCTTAATGTTGGACAGGATTCCATTGCCTATATAAACAAGCTAAGAGATCA